AAGAGTGTTGCTGGGATAGATAAATGAGAACATGGCTGTTGGCTATTATACCATGCTCTAATTATTCATGTGGCCTTGCTCCATTAGGAGGGATGCCTGTAAAGATTGCTGCTTTTAGTTTTGGGTGTATTCTGATATAGGCCAGAAGTCTAAATGAGTCTCCTTTGAGTCAAAATCTATGTGTTCCACTGCACGTATAGTTGAAAAAATTGAATAAAGCAACAAATTCCAATAATGTTCATGATTCTGCTTCTCTGCTCTGAGTGGAAAGCAGTGCACTACAGGGCTAAAAGTGGAAACAAAGCAGTAAGGGCTGGGTTTTGAGTTAGGACTTTAATGCTGTATTAACTGTTAAGTCACCATGCTGCACTATCAGCCTTTTCACACTAATCAACACATTTTTAAAACTCCAAACAGCTGGGTTCATGGGATGTGGGGTAAAATAATATACTCAATATGTGAAAAGTGAAAGAATTAACTGTTAAAAGTGTTAAATGCAAAAAGGCAAAGTTAACTAAAGACCTGCCATTTTACAGGGATTCTGCAATTTAAGACTTTTTAATAATAAACATTTTTATATAGCACTTTTAAAAAACAAAGTTACAAAGTGCATTACACTAAAAACAATAGTAAATACAATAAAAGCTCAAATAAAATAAAAACACAAATAGCAGTTTAAGAAAAAGCCATATGATAAAAGTGAGTTTTAAGAAGAGATTTAAAAGAAGACACTGAGTTCACCTGCCTGTGATCCTCAGGCAGGGAGTTCCACAGCCGGGGTGCACAAACAGCAAAAGCCCTTTTAAATACTGCACAGTCAACTTCATCAAAGAATGATGGGAAATTAATGATAAGGCCTACAGCTATTATGGATAGCATGGTTTGTCAGTAATACCCAACTGTATACAATAATCATTCCTAGTAATAAAATTTATCAAAGAAGATGACCTGGGCCTATTTATAAATTAGTATGGACAAAGACCTAGGGCCTGAGTGTTTGTACGAGATCACTCTTGTAAACCACACCAAAGAGACCCAACATGACAGCAAGAAGAAAAAATGGGCAGAAAGGCATTCAAAACCATCCCAAACACAACTGCAAAGAGGCAAAAACCACCCATGAAATCACTCCAAAGACACAACACAACTGCACAGAGACAAACAGTAATTGTACAGTGCCTGTTGATAATGGTGTATAATGCACTCACATCCCATGATTATAAAGTGGTTCCAACTAGCTGTTAAAGCTGTATATGTAACCTATCTTGTATCCGGCTATAATGGGCCACCATCAGGCCTGCATGCATTAAGAGTGCACAGTGTTTTGAAAAGGGGCATTTTATGAATTATCCATGGAGACAAATGCATAGAAATTTGCTCTGTGAAGCCAACTGCTCCTCCTTCTCAGCGTAATGGTTTTCAAATGAGGTGTTGCTGCAGGCACATTTATTAGCAGGGAGACAAAGGAGGAGCTCACTGACACCCACACATGACATGGAAATGTGTTTGATAGTGGATCTGTGATGTACACTGACATATTTCTTGCATGGAAGTACTGTATGTCTTTTCACTAGAGCGTACTGTATAAATGTGTTACATATGTGTGTTGCAGCACACTGAGACCTGTAATTTGAAAGTACCCAGATGACCTGTATGTATGTGTGTTTATGCAGGAAATAACATCGGTGCTACCTATGGTTAAGCTCTGCTGTTAATGACAAGCGTAGTACTGTAACAGTCAGACAATTAAAAGCAACCTCCTGCTGTTTCATTTCTACTGCGGCAGGGAATCTGATGCTATTTTTAGATTATGGACACATAACCTCTCTCTGTCACACACACACACACACAGTCATCTTTGGATATGCATGTCAGAGTGGTTGCCTATGGATAATCTGCCCTCGGTCCAGCATTATTCTCCCTGTGGGAAGGCACTGGTATCGGACACAGTGCTCTAATCTATGATACAGTCACTCTTAATTCCTACAGCTATAGTAATTCGTGAGCATAAGCACCAAAATACTCTCATCCAAAGGTTACAATTCCTGTTGCTTAGACTCATTTGACTAAAAAAAATTTTTTTTTCCATCTTTTATGGCTTTTTCAGTTTTGTGTTATCCTGTCCTGAATTTTTAAACAGGGAAGGATCAGTGTTTACTGGTGGTTCAGAGTGATTGCCAACTGGAATTCATTGTTGGCCTATTTCCACTGCATTATTGCCAAAAACCTACAGGTCAAAACAAGGCTGCTCTTCATGATGCAGTGTTTCTCAAAACCCTACAGAGACAGAGACACCTCAGATTTCTCAGTAGGAATTAGTAAGCAAAAAGAATCACTATGAATGACAACACATCCAAGATAAACTTGCAGTATTTACAATTTCCTTAATGTGTTAATGATTTCTCCATGTCAAAATAAATACTCTTGTTTGGCCACTGAGTGTCACTATTCCCCTGTAGTTTGAGCCACATTTTGAGGGTTTCAATCTATTATTAAGTTTAAAGCTGAATTGCTGGCTACTAGTTGCTGGGCACATTAATGAGAGGTGTCCTCAGTTCATTTAATAATCTTGAGACTCAATACTGGCATTAAAACACTACTGAACCTCTATAACTAGCAACATACCTCAAATTAATGACACAAAAAACCAGATGGTGAAAAACGTCTGATGTACCTCATAGTGTAGAGCAAAGTGCCATCATCCTGCAGCCTCAGCAGCTTGTTGGGCGTGGTCATATTGTGAGCAATCGACTTCTTGCCATTAAGGAAGAAAGTGTCGGGGGTCCAGATGTTGCTGGCCAACAGGTTGTTTAGCGGCAGCTTCTCCATGGGCCCTTTGAAGCACAGACGCTCATCCTTCCAGCTCTGGCGGAAAAACACATCTATGGTGTATTCCTGAGAAAAAGAGCACAAAACACAGTTTGGTTCTGCTTGAAAAGATGAAAAACATTGCATATTCACAGCCAAAAATAATAGTGAGAGCCAACTTTTTGGACCCAGAAGCCTTGCAAGGTGATGTCATTACTGACTACTTTATTACTGACTAGTTTATAGCAAAGATGCCGACAGTGCTCTGAGAGTTCACTGCATTTTAAGAGATGCTTGTCTGTTTCAATTTGTTTGTTTGTCTGTTTGTTTCTACAATTCCGAGCATCACTTTCTGTGGTGTTTATTTAGCCAAAACAAAAGTACTGTATAGGGTGTCTGTTAATGTTTCTTGACTCTGTTACAGGATCATTTTCAGATTAGACTGATAAAATTAAAGTGTTTTACCACAAAATTCTTCCAAAATAGAGCTTTAAACATTTAGCACACTTCAAGGCCTATTTAGAGTTACAAAGAAAAGAAGTGCACTGAGGAAGACAAGCTAATTTAATGTCTTTATAGTCAATTACCATTTAGCTCAAACAATTTGTTTTCTAATACAGCAGTTCCTAGTTAATGTCTTCATAAATCCACTAAGACTTTACAGATATGGTGACCAAACACTGCAGTGTATAAATCCATCATAAATGTGTTCGTGTGTGAAATATCAACTAGCTTCAGACTCAGAAAAACAAACAAACAAGACCCAAACACAGTACTCCATCCCACAGAATAATGACTCTGCAGAACCACTCAAGACTCTTGCCACATTTCATTAATCAATCATGCCTCTCTGCCAATATCTTTTTCAAGTAAATTATACGGAAGTGGCGAGTTTGATCACTGCTGTGGTAAAGTGCGCCAGGGATATGGCAGGGTGTAAGAGAGGATTTAATAAAAGAAGAGAGCTAATGTATTTTTCTATCCATGTGGAACTTTCTTGTTGTACCATTTGGAACAAGTTGGAACGGACCAGCCACACTGCATTTAATCTGGAAAGTTTAAGTCATCCATTCTTTTCATTTACAAGGAGCCCAAAAACTGCCCTGTCTTCAACGACACAACTAGGACACAGAGGGCAGGAGCAGTCATACCAGAGTTGTGAAATGAAAATGCTGACAGATGTCTGGTGTGCTTTGGCGCCACTTTTGTGCCTGTTTGTCCATCTTAGCCAGTCTCTCTCTCTCTGTGTATCTCTGTTTGCAGTAGATGAACTCACCATCTCTGTGTCAGACACCGGGCCAAAGCTGGTGACAAAAATATCCGTTTGGATCTCTGTGACGTTCTCTGTTGAGAGAGCACAGTTGAGAATGTATGAGGTGTGGAAATCTCAAGGAAAGGCAATGAAAAGCCTTATTGTTTTAGCAAATGTTAATTTAACCAATACACTGCAAATATTTGTTCTTTTTTCTGGGATGATCTTCTCTGATACAGCTGCAAAAAATGTCTAAGAAACTGACACAGATTGTATTTTAACTGTTCTGTGGTGTTTTTCCTAAGGCTCAAACTATTATTCCATGATTTAAATGTTTTAGATTAATCAATAACTTGCTTAGCTTATAAAATTTTAGAAAATAATGATGTCTTCGCACCAACAGGCCAAGTTGGTATTGAATTTACAATCATATAAAAGAGAATATTTGGAGGTTTTTTGTTTGTTTGTTTTGCTGACTAAAGAGTTGCAGATTCATTTTCTCTCACTAAACTAATCGACTAATCAGTCCAACTCTGGTTTCAGAGGCTTTTACCGCTTCACAAGCATAACATTCTTGTAAAAAAAAAAAACAACTGGTTTCTTATAACTGTGGGGCTTAGAAATGATCCCATTTAAAGATAGTGAGAATTTCTTTGATCAATAAAACTAGTGTGGAGCATCAATACTGGCATTTAAAAATCCTCATTGTGTTTCCAGCTACAGAATAAACCCGCACTCTCTCAGTATTCTCTGCATTTCCATGATTTCTCTCATGATGCATCTCTTGTGAAGATGATGGGTAAAAAGAGTAGACCTTGTTTTTGTCATCTGTACTTGTAAAGCCAACAAAATCTCCTCTATGCATATAAATTTGGTCTGTGTGAGCTTGGATTGGTTGTGCTGTGGAGAGAAGCTTGGTGAATGCTGAATGAAGGCCTGAATGTTTTTCTGGTAAGTATTTATAGGCTCTCTTGTCAAGGGTAGCAACCGTTACCAGGATGTGAGAGCGGGCTTTTGCCATGACACATCAGGCATTCGGCATGAAAAAGCCTTGTTTCTTCCCATTATGGAACAAGTACTACACATAAAGTAGGGACCAGTGGTGTGAGAATGAAATAAGGAGCTGAATGCCACGCAATTAGAGAATGAGGTAGCGAAGGAGTCAGAGATGGCGAAAATGAAAAATTAAAAGCTTTCATTTCAATAGCCCCTTAGGAAAAAGGATCTCCATCTCTGAATGGCAATTTGTCGGCTCTCAAGGTTAACTCCTGTTGCCAGGTTGAGGAATGTGAATAAAACACCACACTACAAAGAATTCAAGCTGTGTTGTCGATGGCTTCATTGATTTACTTTCCCTCTACCATGGCAGCATACAAGAAAAGAGCACATGAATTCATGATCCTGCACAGAGGAACCACAGTATCTAAACAATAAGGTTTGTGTGCGTTCACCTTAGCTGACAGGGGAGCTGATTCCACACCAGCTCGCACTTTTTCTACCTCTGAATCTCCTAGCATTTCCCCCCAACAATCAATTCATGAAATCACAGCAGGGAATGGAGCCTCTCTTAGCACAGCTCAGGTTAGTGGGTTAGGTTAGCGCGCTGGGAGGCTCGACTGTGGCATTATGATATTAGAATGTAAAATTGCTGTCTCGTTTTCCAATAAGAAGGCTCTGAATGTCGCATCTGAAAATGCTAAAATGAGAAATAAAAAAATGTCCCCAGCAAACCTCCAAGCCCTGGCCGGAGTCTGTTATCATAACCATCAAGGAGCCCATCCAGGATTCTGGTGAACACCGTACTGTTGTCGTTGCCTCCCGACTCCTTTGGAGCCTCTGACGAGGACAGACAGAGGCTAGGAGAAGAGAGGGTAGAAAGGAAACACAGAAAAACATCCTACCATTAGTTCAACTGCATGATGTCAAACAGGACATGGTTATTGTGATTAATTAGCTTGCCGCATTCAGGACAGGCTTGTTGGGATTCATCATTGGACATAAGAACTGCTTACAACTACCACTACAATTAATTAATGCTTTGACATGTCACCAAATATACACAAACGAGTTCCACTTCTAAATATGACATAATGTCTTAATGATGAGCACATTCTTTGTGGCTAGAAAATGAGGAAAATTACACTCCACTTTTTGCTGAGTACACTGTGTTCATGCACAAGGATTACCCCAGAAAGAGACATGCACACAGGTTACAAACTGGATTTGAGCATGTGATCTAATAGCCATTGATCTACTCGGATGATAGCAGACTATTCCAATGATTTACTGACAGCATTGCCAAAGATCGTTCTTGCTCTTTCTGAGTGTAGGACAGCCACTTAAGCAGCAGTGTAGCAGAGTGCAGCTCGGATATGCAATCAATCACAGAGCGGAGCGGAGTTGGCAGGAATCCTTAGCAAAAAGAGTTTCATTTACTACGTTGCAGATGGAGCAGTAAAAAAAGATGTGACAATGCTGCTAACTGCAACTGAACATTAAAGTTGTGACTGAATATTATTAGATAAGGGGCAGCTTTAAGCCATTTTGCTTTTATAAGATTCCTCTTGACATCCTCAGCTTCAAAATATTTTCAACTGTTTTACATGTTAAGCTCTTAGTTTACCTATTTTGGCATCCACACAGGAGCAGGAGGGAGAGGATGAGCTTTGCCATGACTGAAATTCTGGTCACTTTGTTGTTTAGAGCTGTCACACACATCCACACACAGAAAAAGACAAGAAAAGAAAACGGCATCATTTAGACACTGCATAAGAATAATGGTGTTTGACTAAACTTATTGTCTAAAGGTGTAGGGATCCCCAGCTCACACAAAGAAACTACAGCTGCTTAAGGAGGCAGGCTATTACAGCAATCACTAAATCAAGCAACGGGACAATCTTTGCTCAGTGAGGTTGCAATCTGCTACTCTTTAACATGCTTCTCATTGTTCTCCTCACAAACACTACAAAGGCTTTGAAAACAAAAACAAAATGCATATAAACAGGGATTTTTTACAGTATGATCCCTACTATGTAAAGCTCCTACTGCACAACACATTATAATTCATACGCACCCCACACTCATCCACCATCACCTTTTTCCACTCTCTCAATCCCCCAAAACATGAAATTGAATCTCACACCTGTTCATATTTGCCATGCTGTATCTAATAATAAAAAGGGAAAGGGAGAAAAACGGGGTTTACCTGAATGCAGATCCATCACCACTAAGGTTTATTGTTTTTTTGTTTTTTTTTAAGCCTGGAGGATGGGGTCTTCTATCGGTGGTGCTGAAGCTGGGCGATCATCTGATCTTTGTGCATGTCGGTTGTTTCCCCTCCTTCTTGTGAGCTCTCGTGTTTCTCCTCTCTCTCTCCCCCCCCTCTCTGTCTGTCTCTCTCAATCAGTGGTTGTAGTAGTCTGTCTGGTCTCCTCCTATAGGCTACACCGTCTTCCTTGTTCAGCCTCTGCTGCACCGCGTCTCCTGCATCGCCTCCAGAGATGTTGCAGCAGCATCAGTATCACACGGGCTGATTCTTGGTCTTGTCCGTTACCCTCGGAGGAGACTTTATTCACGCCACATTATACCTCCACATTTCTTTTATTTTGATTGATTTGTATTCCGCCCACTGCCGGTGCCAGAGAATAAAGTACTGCAACATAAGGTTAATCAGATTATAATAGGTGCTCTCCATCAGTGGGTTTGGGAGGAGTCAGATGTGAACGAAATCAGTTGTGGGATTTTGCCGAATTCTATGTATATCGAGATTTTAATGAAGCAGATCAAGGAGAACAGCTCCCAAACTTTTTGTCAACCCTACCACTGTCAGATAACAGGACATGTTCATTTGTTCAACCTTTTATTCCAACCATTTCGCGTGATTCTTAAGATTAACGTTATGTTTATTCACGACCTGTATGTAACTTTATACTGTTACTTCATTTATCCGCGACATTTAGCTTTGTTTCATCCATTTATCCGTGACTTTACCTATATTTCCCCTGTATGTATATTTTATCCAATTGCTTTTAGCTTAACTTTTCCAGCCGTTAGCTAACAATTGCGACAATTTAGCCGATGAGCTACATGTAGCTCTTTCAACTAGTACTTTTAGCCAACTAGCCTATTTCAACTTTATCAGTTTTGCCAACAGTTAGCAATACGTTTTACTGCCTCTTGCCGCAGGGCTAAAGTTGTTTATCTGTTAGGTTAAGCGGCTATTTCAAGCATTTATCTATTACTTTTATCTAGCAGTTTATTCTGAATATGTCATGCAATTTGAACTATTTATGCATTAGCCTAGATTTAGCTGTTTAGGCTACATTTAGCTAACTAAACACTTAATTCATTACGTTTACGGAAATAGTCTAGTTACATCGGTTTAAACGTATAGGCTAGCTTGCTAAGTTTTACGCACTCTCTTATTTAGCTTTTATATTACACTTTTTCAAATTAGCTGAGATAACCTTACTGAAGTAGCTGCATGTCTGGCTGGAAATCACTGCCGTATAGGCGAAGTTGCAGAAATAATACTGGACTGGACAGACAGCCAAAACAAGCTCAAATATCAGATAGAAAAAAGCAGCGCTGCTGGTTGATTTTTACGTTCTCACGGAGAAAAAAGACTTCATCTTCCTGTTAAATAGGACTATGTACTGTAACATTATGTTGAGCTGGATGTCTGCTACTGATTTAACGACTAATTTAGCCTATAGACATGTGAAATAGCACACCACTTAAGACACAGCATTTATATGGAAGTCAGTTCGATATTTTTCATTTTCATATACATTTGCATACTGTAGGCACCATCTATAAAGTCTCATCCCATATCATTCTGGCGGTTGCCATAAGAGGGTAGCCGAGTTCCATGTTCTGCAGACGGTAATAAGTGTCTAACACCATCCTCCACTCTTCTGAATCCTTCTGGAGATGTAGTCTGTGGACAGGAGATGCAGCCGATCCCGCAGCACACCCGGTGCACCTGACGTTGATGGCCAGTTGGATGGTGTGTGAGAGAAGCAAAGGGAAAACATGCACAGATGTGTACAGATGTGTACAGATGAGAGGGTGGGGGTGATGGGGGTCTCCCAGAGGAAATCGAGTGGCTTTGAATCTTTGCCCAGCTGTTTTAGATCCCTGCTTTATTGTAGAATCTAGGAATCAAATAACCCTGAACAACAAACTACGGAGGGTTAAATAAACACAAATTCACCTCTGACATTTACATTCAAAGTCTTGCAAATCTTTTCTTGTATATCAATATTTGATAACATTTGTTTGTGAATGTTAATTGTTTTGTTAGACTGTTTTGAAGTTTAATGTTTTAATTGGATAAAATCTTAAATAGTTTATGATGTCACCGCCCTTTTCTTTCAGGAATGCTGTTAACGGAAACAAGTTCATCGCCATCTATGACACGAGGTAAGCATTGTCACAAGAGCACGTGATCCATCAACCAGGTCCTCCAACTGCCTGGGTGTCGCGCGCGCACGGTCACGCGGTCCCAATTAACTATATTAGCCTATTTTTGACTTCAAATTTTCTTCAACCTAATTATTGTGGGTAGAGCCCTGCATTTTAGATAGTGTAGAGAACCCATTATAGACGATTAACATGCTAATCAATTACAAGCATCGATTAACGCTTCATGCGGCCCCTGTCACCACTCGATATTGTTCTGCTCCTGCCATTTTTATCTGAAATACAGTGAAAGAAGATTGGAGTTTTCATGAAGAGCACTGTAAAAAATGTCCATTTTAGTAAGGCAGGCTGATGTAGGTTGTATTTCTTAGTGGGTGAATTAATTTGCTTGTGTTCGATTTTAAATAATTTACCCCTTTTCAGGATATTTCTGCCATTAAGAAAATTTTCGGTTGAATTACTTGACTAAAGATGCAATTATTTACAGTAGGCCCTAAATTAAAACAAAAATAGGCCTACTGTCTTGAAATAATACATTGTGTCCTACCCTGAAGTTAAATTATCCTAGTTTATGGGCTGAGTTGCACTGTGGGAATTGTAGGACCCTGTGTTTTAGGGCTTTGATGCTTAATATAAGGACCAACAGTCCTATATGCTGGTTCTGGTTTAACCTCTCTATTGGCTCCCACAATTTACTAAGTGTGCACTACTAAAATCGCTAGTGGTCCTTCACCTTAACACATCCTACTAATTTATCAGCTCTGAAGATAAAGAACTTATTAGTAATTTAAGAACGGTCCAAATAAATTAGTTTGGGGATACATAGAAGAGGCTATGAATGCGGTTAATATATTAACCGCATTCATATCTTTAAAAAATGAGAAAAATCCTAATCCTGAACATAGAAGGCAGAACTGCAGCTACTGGTGGGTATTTTTACAGTGTTAGTGTTGGGCTTCGTCTCTCATTTCAACAAGCTGAGTGCCTTCACCGCCACCATCAGCAGCATCCCCGCACACCCTCTTCATCAATATGCGCTTCAGCTCCTGAATGTAAAAGCCTCTTGCAGTCGGAGACGGCAAAGAAGAGCGGAGCCACTCTTGGTGCCAGGGAAGCGATGCCATCCTGTATTTCATGTCCCACTTCACCCACAAACACTGCTGGCCTTTTCCACACCGTCACTTCACTTTCTCCTTTTGAGAAATCATTGGATTTCCTCTGATTTGAAGACCGTCTGTAACCGTGTGTTGACCGGGATCTCTTTGCTGCTCTTAGCTAATCAACGTTAAACAGCAGGAAAGGGTGATGTTTGCTTTGCTTAGGGTTCGCAAATTTCGCATCTTGTCCGCACTGGTTGTCGGTTCCATTGTGTGTTGCGCGAGAAGGTGAGTGTTTTTATCATCATGAGAAGTCAAGGTTATTGCCCGGGCTGATTGGTGCACGGGTCAAGGTGATGTCTCCCTCTTGTCGTTGCTGTCATTTCAGCGTCAATGAACCGGGCAACATGTCTTTTGTGAAGCAGACGGTGGATAAACTACTGAAGGGATATGATATCCGACTGAGGCCGGACTTTGGAGGTATGTGCTGAATTTTCCCCAAATTTGATTCTCATTCATGCCCTAGGCAGGCAGCTTTATGTTTGGCGCCATTCACAGTGTTGTGGTCAGGTGTAGAGGTGTAGTCCTATATACATATTCTGCTGTTTAACCTCTTCCAGGGGACCCTGTTGAAGTTGAGATGACCATCGACGTGGCTAGTATAGACATGGTGTCAGAAGTCAACATGGTGAGTGAATTTATATCATAAAAGGCTGTTTTTCTGGTGTTTACATAATGCACGCATTCCTGTCTTTTTCTCAGTGCTGATATAAAAATGTATATTGGCACTCATACAGCATGAGGTCTTAGCTGCTGATGTAAATCCAGTTTTTCCTCTGAAGCCATTATGTGGTGCTGAGATGGATGGGCTGGGTTTCCTGTAAGCAATAAAGCATCTTTATCTCACACCCTGCTGGCACAGTGTTACTTTACATACACAGAACTCTTAGCCTGGGTGTAAAAATTTCACACAGTATAGCTCCTCGGTCCTGTTTGCAACCATGCTGAACCTCAGACAGCAGCATCAAGTTGCTTAGAGGATAGAATAAAGCTGCAACAGTGGTTTTACAATCAATATAGTCTACAAACAGTACACAAACCCTACACAGACTATGGAAAACATGCTCTGCTAACCACCACTCCCCATTTAAATCTTTTTACTCTTTGAAATCGACAGTGAGATGAAACATTAGCTCTCTCTTTGTTAACACAGTTAACAGTGTTTTAGGACTGTCCTCCCAGGAGGTCCTCAGAACAGACAGCTATCAGGGAGCTATGATTGGATTTGCTCATTTGAGAGCCGGATGCTGTTTGCCCCATGTTGACACGTGTACCCACATGCAGGAATGTCACCTCAAGCTATTGTATCTTAAAATATCAGCCCGCAGTGACCCAAATTGCACCAGAAACAAGTGACACATTGGCTGAACTTTCAGTTCTTTTGCACAAGAACAGGATTTTAAGACTCCAGCACTAGATTGAATGGTGGACATTGTTCATAATAGGTGGGTTGCAAACATAACTATTATGATATGTGAAACTCGGATGGAGGGCAGGAAGCGAAAAACAGAATGAAGAGATGGAGTAAAGTTTATATTGTGCTAGTTTAAACAATATTAGGAGAAAAGGTATTATCAGAAAATCACAGCATATGTGGGATGTGAGCGACTTTTCCACAGAACTGAATGAGAAAGATCTGAGCAGGGGAAAACACTTCAACGCCCCTCTTATGAACAAATACTTCTGGTACTCGATAGAATCTTTGTCGGTGTGATTGATTTTTAGCAATCGTAAATGACACCAGCTGTAAGCATTTTGACAGCTCGTAATAGTACTGCCTATGTAGAAAATCACTGCCTGCTCTCCAGCTGCAGTTCGTGCTACAGCAACACAGTGATGTGACATCATATGCAACCCACCTATTGGTTTAGCTCCAGGCTTCGAAACCCATAAGCCGAAATAACTGTTTCCATATCAACACCTCTACTCCAACACGTTTCATGGGCCATCATCTTCTAGGTGTAACCATTAGGACTTGCTGAGGCCATGTGCTTTTATAACAGTACAGTTATGAGGAGTCAGGTCAGGTGAGTTTATACACCCAAACATCATTAGTCTACAAAACCTTATGCCACACATTTAATTTTGGATCCTTATTGACCAGATCTCTGACAGAGAGAAAAGGCGAGATTTTTACTGCACTGTATTAGAAAATGATCATTATCTGGTCAGAGGTGTGGGTGTGTGCCTGGGTGTTCAATACTAATGACTCGATTAAGTGCCTCCTCGCTTTGAAAACTGGCTTTTCAGGCAACGCTCTGTCCTCTAACATTTCAGGATGCTCCCAAAGCAGCCCTGTTTCCTGTGAATCATATTTACTTACATTTTTAGGGAAAAAGTATTTGTTTAGTGGCAACATTTTTATGAATGAAGTAGATCATAGGCAGTGACCTCAGAGACAAGAGGTAAATCCCCATTCCCCTTATTGCATCCACCCCTCCCTCACTTGGATCTTTTCTTTACTTTCCCACAATCCTTATGTGAAGCGCAACTCACACACTGATTTCCAATAAAGGGACGCGTCATTCCGCACAGAATGCACTCCTATAGCTCCTCCAGGCAGCCTCTTCACTTCTCAGTCCTCACTCCTCAGAGCAGAAATAAGAATTTTGGGATGTCCTTCATTGGACCGGAACAACTTCCGGGTCAAGCGAGGATCGAGAAATGATAAAATAAGGGACCTGGGATTCACCTAAGGGTTCACATCCTGCGTCCTCTGTCTTTCTATTGTTGAGTAAGAATATGACCAAATATGACCAAGTCCAAGACCAAGTAGATTCCCAGTTGCTGTTTTTTTTGTCTTCATTTATAATAAATTAATAATCTGGGGAGATTTTTAAAACAAGCACATTCAGGGCCACAATTAACAAGAACTTTCATTCTTGATTACTTTCTAGATTAATCAATGAATCATTTTGTTGACCTGAACGTCCCTCGGGATCAATAAAGTATCTACCTGTCTGTCTGTTCCTATGTATTCTGTCATCTTTGTTGTTCTTTTCATATTATAAGTGTTATGTGCTAGCTTTTATGTTATGTTTTATGATGCAGTTCTTGGCCTGAACATTAATTGATAATGAAAATACTCATTATTGGCAATAATCATTTAATTCTAATTCTAACCAATTAAGATGTCAATCATGTTTTAGTTAGATAGATGGATAACCTTTATTGTCATTGTACAGAATACAATGAAATTACACTGCAACTCCCAATATATAATAGAATAAAGTAATAAAATAGAATAATGTCAGTAAATACAAATGTTCCAAAAACTACCTTAAAACCACAAACCATCCCAATAAATAGCATAACATCCATCCATCCATCCAACCATTATCTATACCTCTTATTCTTGAATAGGGTCAAGGGGGGGCTGGAGTCAATCCCAGCTGACACTGGGCGATAGGCGGGGTCCACCCTGGACACGTCGCCAGTTTATCACAGGGCTGACATGTAGACAAACAACCACACACACCCACACTCACTCTTAGGGGCAATTTAGAGTCACCAGTCAACCTAAGCTGCATGTCTTTGGACTGTGGGAGGAAGCTGGAGTACCCGGAGAGAACCCACGCAAGCACAGGGAGAACATGCAGACTCTGCACAGAAAGGTCCCGGGTTGGCTGGGGCTCAAACTGAGAACCTTCTTGCTGTGAGGCAACAGAGCTAACCACCACACCACTGTGCTGCCCAAATAGCATAATAATAAGCTCTAAAAGTGCCATCAGTAGCTGTAAGTAAAAGTTCAGTGCATCCAGGCCTATAATAATATACCCATATATCTTCATGTATACACATCTAACATGCTACAAAAAGAGACAGGAAATGCTTAAATACATTGTCAGTGTTTTGCAGACACATTTCCTTTAATATAAAATAATTCAGGTGACATTATGTTTTTCTGAAAATGCACTTGCTGTCGTATATAAACTTTGACTGTAGGTTTCCGTTGCACTATAACGGGACCAAACTTAGTTGTGTCCAAATAAATCCAACAAACTTTATCTTGAATTTCATATAAAATCACAGGATATCACATGCCCTTGGTTTGTAGTATCACTGCTTTCATGCAGTGATACAGAGTGAAAAAGCAGAGATACTACAACCCTACGACACCTGTCGTTCTAGCTGATTCTTTATGATCCATGTTGAAAGCTTTGTTTGCAAACTGCTCAGCTGCCAAAATTAACTTGCAAGTCAACATGGGTAATGCTGCACAGAGCAGATAAAGGCAGCTGATCAACCGGGGAGTCAGACAGCTTAGATCACATGTAAAGCGCTAATTAATTACGTCTATTGCTCATCACCACCAATGCACTCAGGGACTGCACGTGTGCATCTGTACTTGTTAGATGGACAATTCATGGCTGCTATCCAGTGTTGAAGCCAGAACAAGACTGGTCAAGCTTTTTGTTATTTTTGCACCAGCATTTGACATTTGGCGGGCGCTTTTCATCCAATACCGTCTGCACTTGTAGCAAGGGGGTTGCTCCAGAGGGAAATGGATAATGAATGCCTTTTGTCCTGACAGTGACAGTGCTTTGCTTTATCCATTCAGCAACACTAAACAGCACAGCCCCGATAAATGCTGCTGTCTGCTTCTTTTGTGAAGAAGAATGTTTGCAAGCAGTTAGCCTCCATTTTGCATCAATTTCAATAAAATTTCAGCACCTAAATCTGCTTCACTAGCCTAGAGCAACTACCCACAGGCCTAATTGGGAAACTAGTCTTAAAAGATGAGGATTTATTGAGACAAGTCCTGCTTGCTAAGCATAAATGAAACTGGGCTTGTACTGCCAATTTACCTCCATAGATTTTCAGGTGTTTAAGGTCATGCTTGTAACAACTAATGTAGTCGTGCTACCAGCCTCAAGCAGAGATGAGGAACAAGCTATAGTGACTTCATTAGAACTCCCCAACATACTTTTTGCTTTATAAAAACTGAAATATAAAATTCAGCTCTACCCTATGTATTCCCCTGACTCCTATGCATACATTCACTTTGGTTTCATTTGATGCGTAGTGGGAGTTCATTTCATCACCCCATGCAAGAGTCAGAGGTCATCGTTGCAGCACTCAAAGCCCTAAAGCGCTAATTTTACCAGACATAACTCTTGAGCAGAACAAGAAACTTAGAAATAAAGGGGAAAGGAGAGCTCTAAGATCTAAAGATTTATTGAGTGGTTGAGCAAAACAGAAAAGATCAGGAGAGAGGCAGAGAGAGTAGGTGGTAGCTGATTGAAATACCCCACAAGCTCCTGAGACACAAAGTGAATATCACATCTGGCTCATCCAAGAATCCACCTGGCAAGGCAGGTCAACCATGTCAGTTTCTGCTACTCTGGCTCCTTCATGGAGTGCAAGCTCCTGCACTAGCAGATGCTAAAGTGTCAGAGAAAGGCAAGCTAATGACCTCCGAGGTTTGTATATGCTATGCTGAGGGCCTACGCTGATGATAAGCACATACTAGTACAAGATCAGCGCAAGGCAACATATATTACTTGCTTATCAAGAAACTACTTCACGATGACTTGACCTCAAAACATGCTTTGGAGAGAGAAAGGAGGATGAAGGGTTTTAAAAGTTTTTTTAATTCTAAAATTGCTTTGGAGGAGGAAATGAATA